GATGAAGACCGCCCCCCTGCTGTAGGGAGCTAGCCCTGAGGGTACCCAGAGGGGTTTGGCTAACACTTGCTGTATTCTACAGGCTAGGGTACAGAGGGCTGGGGGCAGAGGCAGGCTGGGGCCAGGGCCTGAAGCCAGGGGAGGGAGGACAGAGAGAGGTCTGGCTGAGTCCCAGGCCTCCCACGATTCTAGCATCACTGGGCCTTTGAACCTGTGGACCCAAATCACACTCCCTCTTTGTGCATGGGGCCAAGCGTGCAGAGCACAGTGGAAACCCCTCCTCAGAGGAATCCAGGAAAGCCTCTCAGGACAGGGTCCAAGGTTCCTACAACCTTAGGGGCCTGCTCAGCCAGGCATAACACCCACAGCAGGTTCTGGGAGGAAGCTCTCCCTGCTGCCCCTTGCTGGGCGCTGGGCTCAGGAAAAACAAGCCCTTACCTTCCCTGGATCCTTCAGAGGTTCTGACTCAGGTCCCGAAGAATATGTGACCATGGGGACAGCTGAGCTGCTCTCTGGCCCAGAACTCAGGCAGGACAGCCCCTCTAGGTAGGCATTGAGGGGACATAAGGGCAGGGAACAGGCCCTGCTGCGTTCCCAGCGGCTCTTCGCTTGCTCAGGATGTGCCCTCAGCCCCTTAGTTCTGTTACTCAAGGTCCTTCTCAAGGTCTTGGGCTGGGGCAGCCTACGCTGCTGTTCCAGACACAGGGACTTTCCAGGCCTGCGAGGGTCAGACTGTCTCTGGACTCGGGAACAACGGCCGGGGTTGGGGACAAGTGCACTGGGCTCCCCTGTCATGTCCTCCTCTGCTGATAAGCCTTTAGATGTCAGTGTTCCTCTAGTTAGTCCTCTGTACCTCCTCCACTCCACCCAGGCCCCCTGATCTTATTCACTCCTGGGTCTCAGGGACCCCACTGCAGACTAGTCCCAAACCCACACCTGCAGGCCGGACTTCTCCCAGGTGAATCCAGCTGTCCCCGGGCACCTCCCCCTGGAAATCGCGCATCAAGTATTGAATCCTTGTTCCCTCAAAGCCGGCCCCTCCCCAGGTTGCCCAGCCACCCAACCAGAAACCAGGGCGACTTCATTGCCTCCTTCCTACTCCCCACATCTGGCAGCAGCAAGCCTGCCACCCCTTCCTTCCCTGTGTCTCTGGAATCTCTCTGTTCCCTGCCATACCTTAGGCAGATCTTATCACCTCCCTCTGGGTCTCTCCCTTCCAGCATCCAGAATGACTTTTCTATCATGATTACATCCTTCCTTGACCAAAAAAGTCCACAGATGAGCCTCAGCTGCTCTCATATTGAAATGCAAGCTATCTTGGCACCAAAGCCCTAGCTGATCTGGTCCACCCTTCAGCTTCACCCCCGCCTAGGGCACCCCTCGACCCTACACTACAGCCCAACTTGACCTGCCTTTTTCTCAAGCTCCTCCCTATATCAGTCCTGCCCTCACCTTCCTTCTGTGCTGGCTCTTTTCTCAAAGGCTAGCACTGCATCCAATGGGCATATGCAGAGTGGCCACCTGATTCATGATGACTTCCCCTTGTCTGGGAATGACCTGCAACAAATAGGCAGGCTCCCAAAATCACATTTGCACTACAGGAGCCTGCCACCATTCATAGCTGGTTGGACTAGTGGTGGATACTTGACCCAAACTGGGCTGATGACATTCTGTCACCTGAGTACTTAAAACTTGGAATCAAGAACTCGGGGGTCCCAGGTATGGAGTCTCATTAATGCCCACAAGTGACATAAGAGTACGTTCCTGTCCTCAGGCTGCTGGAGCCACCTGCTTCCTGCCCTCCTGAGTCAGCTGTCCCTTTAATTCTCTTCCCATTGCTTTCGACCGGAAGCTTAACTTTCTCCCTTCTTAAAACTGCCTCCCTTGCTTAGATTATTTGGTTTTTTTGGTATTGAGTTGTAGAAGTTCTTTTTTTAAAAGATTTTATTTATTTATTTGAGAGAGAGAATGACATAGAGATAGCATGAGAGGGGGGAGGGTCAGAGGGAGAAGCAGAGGGGTGAAATAGGGGATGGGGATTAAGAGGACACTTGTCATGATGAGCACCAAGTAACGTATGGAATTGTTGAATCACACATACACCCCAAAACAGCATCCCTTGCCCCAATCTCCCCACCAGCAAGGATGAGCCTGCCCTCCTCCTCTTCATCAAACTCTTGAGAAAGTCTCCCACATTCAACTCACTCCCTCATCTTTCAACTCCTCACTACTCAGCCTGCAGTAATGAAACAAATGTGACAAATATTTATTTAGCATCCACCTTGCACAAGAATGAGGACACAGAATGAGACATGGCCTGTGGCTTCAGAGCGTTCACAGTCTAGCCCTGAAGATAGGCACAGTAAGGGGGCTGTGCAAACTCCAATACAGATTAAAATCCACCGCCATGGCCAGAGAAGGGAAGAGGAACTCACAGGGTGCAGTGAGAGGGAGGGCTCACGAGAGGCGTCCTGGAGGAAGGGATGCATGAGCCGTGTCTTCCAGCTAGGAGTGACAAGGAACATTTTTTTTTTTTTAAGATTTTATCTATTTATTTGAGAGAGAGAAAGCGAGAGAGATAACCGAGGGAGAAGGAGAAGCAGACTCGCTGCTGACTGAGCAGGGAGCCCGATGCGGGCCTCGATCCCAGGACCCTGAGATCATGACCTGAGCCAAAGGCAAATGCTTAAGCGACTGAGCCACCCAGGCGCCCCGACAAGGAACACTTTAATGCACAAGTCCCAATTCAGGAAAATAAAAATTAGTGACTCCTTTTTACTTTCATTTAAAATGAAAATAGATTTATTACTACCTGTGAAAAATGTCATATAACCATTTAGATTACTTACTTTATTGAAAAAATTTCAATAAGAAACTTGGCACACTGGTTTTCACCAGCTAAACTGTTATCATCCTGGCACACCAGAAATGCCGGCAGGTAGGCAGGCCAGAGGGACTCTATTGGCCAGGGATTTTCATCACTGTCGTAGAGGATTTTTTTTTAAGATTTATGTCTTTATTTGAGAGAGAGAGAGTGTGTGCGTGTGCATGAGCAGGGGGAGGAGCAGACAGACAAAGAGAAACCTCAGCGGGGAGCCCGATGCAGGGCTCAGTCCCAGGACCTGAGATCATGACCTGAGCAGAAATCAAGAGCCAGCCGCTCGACCAAGTGAGTCCCCTCCCCCACCACCGGGGGACAGAGGATTTGAGAGAACAGAAGGGCAGTGTAGGCCGGGTTGAGAGTGTGAGCAAAAAGGGCATGGAGAAACACCATGTGGGAGAAGAGGAATAACAAATAATTCGTTTAGTAGGGAGTGAGGTTGGGAAAGTGAACCAAGAGGCTGAAAGAGGCCTTATTCCCCTAGCCAGGCCCTTGGTAGTTGTCCTGAGAACAGCAGGGAGCCATTGAGGGTTACCAAGCGAGCGAGAGAGGGTTTGTCCCTTTAGTACCTAGCGTCAGGGAAGGGAGGGTTGCTCTACCCCTGGTTAGCCCTGAAGCCCTAGATCCCTCTCTCCCTGAGGCTTGGGGCCCCTCTGTAGTATCCACTATCCTTAAGTTGTCAGGTATGGGCGGGGGGTGGAGGGGGTCTAAAGACTGGGGCTCAGAAGGAAAAGTTGTCCCTGCTACCCTCAGTCCCCAGCCCGCCAGCGCCAGGCTGAATGTAATTGTCCTCGATGAAGCCGTCATCGTCCTCGTCACCCACCTCCGGGCAGACCACCTTGGCCGTCCTGGGCAGCGGGCGGTGCCGGTAGCTGGCCCGGTACTTGCGACAGAGGTGGCATTTGGCAGCAAGAGCAATGAGGAGGGAGAGGACCACAGCCCCCAGCATGACCCCTACCAGCGCAGGCCATGCCCGGGCCCCAGTGCCCGGTCCAGGGGACACAGCTGACGCTGCTGGGAGCTCTGAGGGCCCCGGCCCCACGGTGGCTGCAGAGGGAGGGACAGCATTATGGATGGGGGCCCCAGATGGGTTCCCTGGGGAAACCGAAAGGTGGGGAGACAGGGTCCTTCCCCCAACCCCCCTCCTCGGCCTCCTTCCCAAACTCACTTTGGTTTGCCTCACTCATGGAGGGGCCTGAAGACACCGGTGAGCCTCGGCTTCTGCCAGAAGAGCCTGAGCGCCACAGAAACCCCCAGATGCCAGGCAGCCCTGGAGGCCAGAGTCCTAGAAGATACACACACAAGTGGGTGTCCGGGGAGCACAGGTGCACATTCCCCGGGGCACACGCACGGCCACATTAGGGCACTGCACAAACTCTGGACACGGGACGATTGACCATAACCAGTTGTGCACAAAAGAGAAATGAGCTGTGTACCTGGAAATTGGCTATTTGTAAGGGAACACCGTGGGGTCCGGCTCTGCAAGCCCCTGAAAAAAAGGCAGGAGCTTACTCAACACTGTGTCTGATTTAGGCACCAGGCAATGGGCTCACAGACCCCTCTAATGTGGGTATCAACATTATCCCCTCTCTGTAGATGAGGAGTCTGAGGCCCAGAGGGTGAACTAACTCAGCCCAAGTCCCAGGACTTGAACCCAGGTCTCTGAAACCAGGGCCCAGAGCCCAGGCTGCTACACTGCTTGGTAGGCTGAGGATGGGAAGGGGGGCAGAGGCGGTTCTGGTTCCCAGGGGTTGGACAACAGCAATCGCTCAGAGCTAATGAACCAAAGTAGAGACCACATGTGGAGGAGAGTGCCAGTCCCTACCCAGGCAGGGGGCCCCACTCCTCCTCAGTCAGGAGCTCCTGCCACCCCAGCTTGACCCTCAGCTCTTCAGACACATGGCTTGTCCATCGACTTCCGTCTGCCCCCAGAGGGAGGCAGTATTCAGGGAGTAGCCAAATGCAGATCACCTCGATCAGGAAATTATCTGGATAAGAACCCCTAGGGCTAGGGAGGAGCAAGAGGGAGCACCTAAATTAAGGGAGTATCTGGAGGAAGATCATCTAGGCTTGGGAATACCAGGAGGAGGAACGCCTGAGTCAGAGGAAGGCCTGGGGGAGCAACACCTGAATCTGAAGAGTATCTAGAGGAAGAACACCTAGGTTAGGGAAGTACCTGTCAGAGGGACGCCTAGGACTGGAGATAATGTGCAGGTGGAGCACCTGAATCAGAGGAGTACTGCGGAGGAGTATCCAGGCTAGGAAAGCACCTAGGAGAGAAGCATCTAGTTTAGGGGAGTACCTCCCATATTCTTTAATACTGATATCTTCATGAAACCCTCCCTCCTCTCCTCCAACCCGTCACTAAGCCCCATCAGTTCTTCCTGGAACTAAATATCTCTGCAATGGCTCTGCCCCTCCCCTGCACCCCACTGGCCACTGCCCCATCCAAGCCACCTTCATCCTTTTCCTCGACTCCTACATGACCTCCTAATCCATCCTTCCCCACCTCCAGTCCATTCCCCAGAGTGATGGGCCTAAAGCCCAAATCTGACCCCATTACTCCTAAAAACTCTTCCAGAGCTCCCCAGGCCCTAAGGGCTGCACATAGATTCCTCAGCATGTTCTTCCAGTCCCCACAGCCCAGCACAGGGGCCTCGGGCCAAACTAGGCCTCTTGTCCACAGTTCCCTCCCCGTGCTACACACACACACAAACACACACACACACACACACACACACCCCTCCCAGCTCACCTTCCCTCTTGTTTCCCAGCCACCCCCTCCTCAGGATTTTGAGTTCCCTATCCCTCCAGGTGAAATCAGACCATATCTGCCTGTGAGGTTGTCCCAGGACCCCCTTGGAGGACCCCTTCCCTGGCCTACACAGTCAACTATCCAGCAGAAGTGGCCAGGTACTAGATGGGCAGCTGCCTGGGGCCAACGCCTGGGCTGGTTAATGTGTGCCCTGGTGCTGGCAGAGAGCTTGGTGCTCAGCTGCTCAGGGCGGGTAACAGAGGAGGATGGGGGAGCTGGAGAGTGAAGGGGGGGGCATCAGAAAGGAGAGCTCAATCACTCATTCACTCACTGGGTGCCTACTCCAGGCCCCAATAGGCACTGGATCCTCAGAAAAATCAGATTTTAAATGGAAATGAATTGTATTCAAATTGATGTCTCTAAGATTTTACTCCTACTCCTTTCCTGCCTGCCCTGTCCCTGTGAATTCTTGTCAAGGACACACACCCCCACAGGCTGTCACCCTACCCCCACAGGTCACATCTCTTCCACCGACAAACACACACCCTCTGATCTCACAGACATACGCACCCCACCCTGAATTGGGGCTCCTTTTAAAGCTCCCAGGAGCCCTCAGGGATCTGTGGGATCCCCCTCCCAGGCCCCCCAATGTCTTCCCCTCTGCTCCCCACCTGCAGGAACTGTGCACAGTCCAAGGAGGAAGCTTCCGGCTGGGGCGGGCAGAACCTGGACAGGTGGGTGCCGGAGCTGCCGCTTGACTCACCTGGAGACGCCGCAGGCAGGCGGGGCCTAATCCGCAGGTGAGGGCGGAGGGCCGGGCAGCAGGCAACGCCTCCAATCAGGAGAACTAAGAACACTTCTTGCCAAGCTTTTGCGGTGACCTTCTGGCGCAGGCCCCACCCCCACCCCCAGCGCCGTGTGGGAAGTTGGTGGGGGGGGGGGTGGCCTTGCGGCTGGGATCCAGAGAGGGGTCCAGGAAGCCCTAGAAGGGACAGGCAGACATCTCAACAGGCAACTGCTCGGGCTGAGGGCCCTGATAAGCTAGTGAATTTCCCATGACAGGTACAAAGTCCAGAGTTGAAGCGGGAGTTTTGCAGGCCCTGGAAGGCGGTGGGCCAGAACTGGAGGGGAGGAAGAGAGAGTTCTTTCCGGGCAAAGCCACAGGGACCAAGAACACTCAAAATTGCCTGCAAAAATGTTTGTGAGCCCTCGCTGGG